CCCTACACCTTCTACAATAAACCCCTTTTGCTTTTCATAAACTGCTGCTACAGAGAGACAGTGGTTGCTCAGTAATTAAGGCTGCAGCCTTAACTTAACTTCACTTCAGACAAAATTTTTCCCATTACTAAGTATCCACCGGAGAAAAATCCCAGATTCCAAAACTGTTAGGTAGAGGACAGAGGTTGAGTTTTCCTGGAGAAGTTCTAACCAGTTATGACATGAGATTTATGAATCGTAACTCTTTCGACTCTTACAAGTGATTCTTAGAGTTGCCCTAACTTTTTGTTGCTACCTTGAAAAAAGGAAGATAAAAACACATTTAGCAGAAATTGTACTGGCCTGTAGGACCAAAGTTGGTTTGACTGAAGCCCCATTTCTGAAGTTTCATTTCTGAAGTTAGTAACTTTTGAACCTGCAATGTTGTCACAGATCACCTGCCCTAACAAGGAAAGTGCAGCACATCCAATTACTACTGAGCTTTCATTTAAAGAAATAAGTCTACAGCCTTTTCCCCTCCAAAGGCAGGCTTCTCATGTAACTCAATCATCATGGTGGCTCATCAAAAGCATTTTTAACTCCTAAACTTCACAAAGTACCGGAACAATGGGTATCCTATCTATTTGCTGCAAAGCCCAGAAATGGAACTGGGGGTGGGGGGGGAAATCATAACATACTCCCTTAATCTCTTTTCCTTCCCAAGTCTCCTCACTACAGATCTAAATGGCATACAAATGACAAGATCACCATCTTCAGTACTCAAGATCTCAAGAAGAAGGGATGGCAGATGGAGGGCAGGCAGAACTTTGCAAAGAGATCAAGGCATTTTCCATCCTTCTTGTGAATCTTATTACGAGTCAAGAGTTTATTACAATTCCTGCAGGAGAGCAGGGTGAAGAGATCATTCAAACTCCAGAAGATATGACAGAGCTAATGTACAATCCCTACAAGTGAAAGCAGACAAACAGCAGCCTCAAGAAAGTCAAGTAAGAGTTCCAAGGACCCTATGAAAACCAGAAGGGGGATGATTGCCGTCACGATTATGCTAGACCTTCCATAGACAGGGCTGCCTATTTATCTCCACACATTTTGAAGATAACTTCTCATTTCCATTGCTGCACTGCACAGAGGAAATCCCCAACAGGAGCCAATGGCTGACAAAACTTTTTCAATTGCTACATTTAGTCTTCTTTCAGGTACATGAACCACAATAAAGTAAACCAAGCCCATAGGTTTTAGGGATGTAGCAAGGGAACCTCTTCAGGGGAAGTAACACCTCACAACACACACCTGAAAGGCAACAGGAACAGATCTATCCTTGAGTCCCAGGGTATAGCCATGTGAATACTAGTAAATTAAACAGTGCCCAGGAACAGGCACCGTAGCATCTCCACACCATTGTCTGCAGTATTATTAAGTCACTGGAACTGTCTTTGGCACAGTTTTGGCCAACCAATGCACTCCTGACCAATTCGCAGGCTTTTTTCAAGATTTTGCATGCAGCAGAAACCCCAAACCCTCTGTTTTGATGCAGCCACTCAGTCTCAAGGCTAAGAGTGTCTAGTAGTATGGATGTAGCCAAGTGGCCTTGGGGCTGAAGAACAGCACCAAGAACTGGTTTGTGTAGTAGAGCTGTAGCTAGAGTGTAGCTGTACAGACACGGTGCTACAAAGCCAGGATGCATGAATCCACAAAAATGGCATTTGCAGCCTGGAAAATACAGAAATGAGAAGAAGCTCCTATCTTTGGCCTCATCAAGCAAATACCGAGCCTCTTTCGTTGTTTCAAGTGTTGTACATGGGAGAAGGAAGCAAGAGGACAACGCAAGAGGATGACTCCCATCCAAGAAAATGACTATGTGAGAAGACAGATGGATTACAGCCGTCTAAGTACTTCAGTGCAACAGGAATGTGATGTCCTTTTGACAATTGGTTACTGAAAACTTACAAGCCATTTTAAATTTTAAAAGACAAGCACCCCGATTACTCTACTACACCAAGGTCACAGCAAGCAATGCAGCAGTAGACTAGCAAGTGGCTGGAATTGTAACAACTACAATTTGGAAGCTGCATCTCAGACTGAGACATTCAAAGCTTGACAAGGAGCATTTGGAAACAGACATTGTGTTCTAGGTTTGGCTTCTGCGTTGGGGGAGGCAGGGCTGCTCAATCCTTTTCTCCAAGCTTTGTGGAAAGTGTCACACTGACTTACTGACTCACATCACAAATGCCTCTAGAGCCTGAAAGCCCCCCACATCAGCTCTGAGTAGCATGGTTTTCAAATCAAAAACGTCTTCTTAAAACATCTGGCCTCAAGATGATTTTCACTAGATATGCCAGCTTGTCCTTCCTTAGAGATAAACCCATTTTTGTCATTTCTTACCTGTATTTCTAATGTCACCATTTCCTGGGTCATTTATCTGTCAACACCAAGTTTCACGTGCTCAAGTACTTTGTTGAACTGGAGAACTTAATGAACTAGAACCTCCACCCAGAATTACCTCTACTCAAAATTCCTATTTTACTGACTCCTCAGTATTCAATACCAAAACATACTGTAGATTACCAGTTTGTCACAGACCCACAAACCTAAAACTTTTGTCCTTCTAGCCCCATGAACCAAAAAACTCGCATCTGATAAAAGCACAACTTTCCAGGTGGCTTCAAAAATGTCAAGCAACACAGAACGTAACATTTCCTTCAGCAGTTGTTGCCACAGCCAGTCATTCCCTTTTAAGATTTGGGTGTGATCCTTAATTTGTCTAAAATGTCAGATCTGAGCCTCCAGATCTGGCTTCTCAGACCCAATTAATCTCCTTTAGTGAATTACACACAATCCTTTAGTGAATCTTAAGTATCCCTTGGTGAATTACTAGTGAATTACACATAACGAACTGCAGGGTTCTTAGATGCAAGAGAAATGGTTGACTTTGTCACACGCGGAAATGTGGGAAAGTGATCTGGCCTCCAATTTGCCCCACGCTGATGCAGCAGCGATCCACTGCGCATGTGCAGTAATTTCAATCACACAGAGATGCAAGGGCTCATGGACAAGGCCATCCTCTGCCATAAGAATAAGATATTCAATGATTTCCAACTTGTGTTCTACAGAGTCCTGTTCATCTGTGGACTGCTTCTAAAAAGGCTTACAGAAAGTAATCTAAGAGTAGCAAACCTACTGTCAAATTAAATCCATTATACTATGTTTAACACAACAACTGGAGAAATGTTGGCAATTTGAAAAAAAAAAAAAAAAAAAAAAGAGGCAAGGATTGAAAAAAAAAAAAACAAACAACCCACACAAAACTAAAATCAATGGTCGGTCAGTCTGCCTGTCCATGCAAGTATTCTTCTAGCCTTCCAATATTTTTAAAAAACTTCTGTGTAATTTTTCAACGCTTAAAAAGATAAGAACACTAAAATCAGACACAGTATCTCGTCGATGGTCTCACTAACGTCATATACAGATGTAAAAACTGCCTTGCTTATACTTACGTACACAGCATATATTGCATCTGACATACTTCTTACCAGTTTTCTTGATTTTGAACTCCTATTCACATTTTCGTGTGCTTTTCTATACAACCATGAGATCTAGAAACAATGCTTCTGAGTAAGTTTTATATATTGAAAACAACTGCAGGAACAGGGAATTTTCCATCAAAAACCCAAAACAAATATTGCAAAATGTGGTATTATTGAACATGTTCCAACACTGCCAACTATCTACTGCTTTTTAATGAATAACTACAGTAACATTATTTAGAACTGTTATTCTAGCAGGGCTTCAGTTATTTTCCCTTTTAAAAATATTTTAATAAATTCACCCTTTTTAAAGATCAATTTACGAAGTAGTTAGGTAAATCAGCCATTTTAGAATCATCATAATTTCATTCACCTTATTAATTAATGGATATTCTCCAGTACTTCATCCCCCCCATATTGCTGCAGGAGTCTCTTGTCCTCCTGAACTCCTCTGGCTAGCTATAATCCAGTTTGCTTCCCCCGCTCTTTTCCTTGTGAAATACAATCAATTGCAAAAGTAACAAGAAGTAAAATAAGATAGGGACAAGCAGAATGAGTGGGCGTGTGCAGCAGAAAATAAAGATAGCAAATGCTTTTCCTGCGAACAAAGACTGTGGACTGTTGACTGCTCTGCTGCAGTCAAACTTAGGCAAACTTTGCTGCCAGTGTAGCACAACATCCTCAACACTAGGAGATCTTAGCTTATAATCACATGCTTTATCTTCCCATCAGTTAGCAAAACTCTCACCAGTTACAAAAGGCTGTCAAGTTTCCTTGGGGAGATATCTGAAAAAGAGAGCAAACCAAAGGAGCATTGCCGTGCATTCTTCCTCCCTTGATATTTTGAAAGCAAGACCTCTGCAAAGTACTAATTAAGCTCAAAAGTAAAATTGACCAATTTTTTAACAACGGAATCTGGCCCTTAAAATGAGTCAAGTTTATTTAGATCCTGACAGGAAAAAAGGTAGCTTGAAGTGTCAAGCTTATTTACATTTCTTACATTAAGTTGGCAGTCACGCCCCAAGTAAGATGGATCAATTCCACGTACTGCCTCTTGGTATCTATAAAGCATTAAAACTTCATACTTATCTTTTGTGGCTCATCCAAAAGGAACCCGAGGTACCTGAATATCAGACTGAAGGGAGAACTTTAAGGAGCTAAATAAAAAAGAACTTATTTTCCAAATCCACAGATATGAAATAACCAGCAGGTCTCAACCTGCCAGGTGCAGCACCACTCTTTTTC